CCCCAAAACCCCAAAACCCCAAAACCCCAAAACCCCTAGTTATGAAATAAACCCTGAAATAACTAGCAAAAATGTCAACACTTTTCTTGAAAATTAATAAATAGAACCTATTGAGGTTTAAGGTAGAAGCGATTTAGTTCATAGCGAATTAGAACACTGAATAGACAGCATTTATTTTGTGCTGTATGCATCTGAGAGATTCAATCGTACTTTTTATGCTAAGTCGATTCATTAAGTTATACTTTTTGCCTTCTCAGAACGCAAGAAATCTTGTGATAGCTATTAGCAAGATTATTCGTCTCTGATTTAAATTGCTGTTGTTGTCATATCTACCTCATCAATACCTGCAGATGGACCAATTCAGACTTAAAGCTTGAGGTAATTTTCATCTTATGTTTTGCATAATTTTGATAAATTCCTCCTCTAGGTCTGCAGTTAGAGTTTGTAGCCTTTTTCATCACTATGATGAGTATCTAGAAAGATTCTCGTTATGGTTTTATACTAAATTTTTACTCAAATTGAGGGGATCAGAGCCTCCAGATCTCTCTTTGATTTGTACATAACCACCAATCAGTTAGTAAAGTCTAGTCCCGAATCTGGGGCTGGGTCAGTCTTAAGCTCTCCTTGCTAGACAGCCATATTCTTTTTAAATGGAAATTCAGGATTAATATGAAATCCTCTTTCCAAGATGGCAACTATAGGAAGGAATCTTGGGGCTTATATGGTTATCATTTAAACATGGTTTACGTTGTACAATAAATAGGCCAATCTCAATATGTTTCCACTTCAAGATCCCGTCAATTACCCAAAGGTATCATATCTCTTAAGAGCAATTACATCGATGATCGTTGTATGGGTCACACAAAGAATCTGAATCTGCTCTGAAGTTTTCAAAGAAGCTTTAGGTGACATCGATCGGGTCTTTATGCTTTCTATCTTATTAACCTAGATGCTATTTTCGGTGACCAAAATTTATAAATTAGTAAGCTTTCGAAATATTCTGAATTTCAACTAATATTTCTCCTCTTAGTTTCTCAGTTTTTTGGCAAAAATTTAGAAAGATACGCAAATGTTGATTATTTTTGGAAGCTTAGAGATAAACTGGTAACACTATGAAAGAATTTTATTATCTAAATTTTGAACATGCATCTAGTTTCTAGCATCTCGAGAGAGAGGAGATTTTCATTGCTTTAAAGTCGTGATAGAACTAGATTATCATTACTCCGACTTACCATATAGAAGCACTAAACCTGATTTATTTTCATTTACCTATTAACTAGTTGAGGAATAAGCTTTAGGGGCAGAGACCTCGAAGTTTTGGTTGATTTAGCAGGGAATATTAAGAAATTGTAGGGGAAATTTAGAAGTGAGAATAGAAGAAGTTAACTAAATTTGGGAGTTGTGGTTGATGTTTTTGATTCGTTTTTGAAAAATTGTTTGGATCTGGAGGTTGAAGAAAGAGAGGGAGGAAAGAAATAACAGTTTGTTTTAAGAGAGTAGCTTTGATTAAAGTATTACTTCAAGAGGCAAGCTTTGGATAATCGGAATTTTGGCAAAAAATCGGGTTTTCATCCGACTGTTTCAATTCTAAAATATGTTAACGATTCTGCAATTGTGTCGACAATAAACTAAGTTTATAGGCTTACAAAATATCTCAATTAGGGTGAATATATAATCTTTGTCAAATGTTGGTATAGCAGAAATATATAGTTTGAGAAGGCCACTGATAAGCAAAAAGAGGATATATAGCCCTTGCAGAAACTGGAAAGATTCTTCAAACTACACCCTTCATTCCCACCAACAAATCTGACTTCGTTTCTCTATGAGAAATCGAGCCCATTTGCTCATAAATGATTATTTAGTGATACTTGTTCGGATAATTTGCTACGTTCAGAGTCTTTCTGAAATATTAGTAAAAGATTCTTTTAGTCTGAACGTCACGAAATGTTAATTTCTAAGCTTAGAATTAGAACTATAGAGAGTATCAGAAGTTCTTTATGTTTACGTTCTAAATTCTTCATGAATTTCTGTCTAGTTTTATTCTGCTTAGGTGAAATAAGTGAGAAATATTTCTTGGAACAACAGTTTGCTGAGTCTAGATATTTGCCTGAGGTAAAAATTTTAGACTATAAATCAATTTTGGAGTAAAGAAATAGCAGTGGAATTCATACGCCATGAGCTTGGTAACGGCAGATTTCTTCTAGACATCCCCGATGAAAGGATCTGTGCTTAAGAACAATCAATGAATTTCTAAATAAAATTTAACTTTCTTTGAAAATGGGGCTTTTACGATTTCTGAAAATCTTCAAAATTTTTATTAAACAGGAAATTATGAAAGTAATTTAAATTAACTAGTCTCTCAAGCCTTCTGTGGTATTTTTTGCTGTAACTTCATATATAGTTTCTTCTGGGATAAAAAAGTGCAAATTTAAAGAAGTTTGAAGAGTCTTCTTAGAGTTCTTGAAGAGGTCTTGACCTATAAACCTTCTTGAAACTAAAAATTCAACATACCAAATTTCCCTCTATTTTTAGAAGTCCCTATCCAGCTCCTTCTCTCTCCTTAGTAAGTTGCTAAAGCTGATACAGCACTCAAAATACCTGCATATATGGGGTGACTGTTATTTTAAGGATTTAGTAAGTCAGTTGTACTTTTATTTGTGGCTGATAACTTCATATTTGTGAAGAATTTGTAGCAAAATAGTTTTAATGTACTTTGCTGTAAAAGGAAAGTTTTCAAGCAATGAGTATCCTTTACTACATTTCCCATGAATTTATGTCAGTTGGTTCATTTCTCAGCTTGCAGTAAATCAAAAGAGTAATTTGAGTAAAATTTCAATGACTGATAATTTTTGAATCGATTAAAGTAATCACTGATCCTAAAAGTACGAGACAAACTAGTGATATTTCGAGATCTTTTAGAATTGTGAAAGAAATTTTAAGGGCTGTTATGTCAGAGTGGTAGGATAGCATATAAATGGAGCCTCAACAGCATTCATTCATGTTTAGAGATTAATAGAAGTCTATTTAAGAAGCTCTGACTGCTTAATTATGCTTCAAAGTTATTATTCTTAAGATATGTAAAGCTTCTCACAATCCTTTATTGTCACTTCAAAGGGTAAAAATGGAAGGTATTATAATGCCAAGATATTGACTTGGGATGATTTCCTGCATGGAATATTAATAAACAGGACTTCTTTAGCATAAATTAAGCTTGGGAGCTCTCAGGCTGAACTTTTATAAAGTATCATGACCATGAGAAATACTATTTAAGACTCTGTTTTGTATGAGAATTTTTATATAATTTATTTTTAACTAATTTGGAAAAATGATGCCCAATGATTTTAACCATATGGCTAACATTATTACTGTTCTCTTTGAACAAATCATTGCAAGGAACCATCAGAAGATGGATCAAGTTGATGGAACAGACTCTGTAATGGGTAAGGACCATATCCTTAGCTTTTGCTGATATTTTTGGTATAGAAGAAGAGCTTGATGAAGCAAAGATTTTTGAGAACTCGGAAATCACGAAATTTGACTTCTTTGATACTGTTTATCAAATAACTTCGGTGTTGGGACAGAGCAACCCTTGTTTAATCTCTGCGTTGATAGTCATCGATCGATTCTCTGTCAAAAATCCTTCATTTATGATTACTCAGGACAACATTCAGAGGTAGGCCATTTTTATCGCATCATCTTTAATGTTTACATAGACTTCTTGTTGTCAGTGTCAGTTCCACCGCTAAGATGCATGATGACTTCTATTTCTCCAATAAAAGCTGGTGACAGCTGACTGGGATGGATGTTCGTTCCTACAATAAGATGGAATCTTTGTTCATTAAGATGATGGACTTTGACTTTAATGTTGACCAAGGTTACTACAACACCTACTGAAAATCTCTATACACATTCATCCAGTCAGTGCAGAAGGACCTAAGGCGCTCATTTGATCAGATCTGCAGATATGCAGCAGCTCAGGAGGAGACTCAGTCCGAAATTCCTGCTTAAATCAATAGCTCTACCTCTATTGGCTCTTTTTAGCTTCTTACACAAATGTTTGGAGCAAAGATGAGTTTAAAGGTAGACATTCATCACAAAGGCGTCACTGCAGCAGCAGAGGCTCACTTCCTTTGTGGCTTAATAAGTATCTTTCTAACAATAGACTTCTTCGTTAATTAACTTTCTGGGATTCCCGTTGGGCCATTTCACCCATTTTGAACATTCTTAACAAGTTCTTGGAAGATCCTTGTGAAATATTTGAGAGCAAGATTTCCACTTCTACATTATTTTTTGAGTTGATGCTGTTGTAGGGCTCTTAATAAAGCAGGGATACTTATTTTTGCAAAGATTTTTCACTGATTTCCTGATATTTCCTCTGGGTTGCTTCGTTTCCAATTCGCTTCCTTCTCACAATTTGGAGTTCCTTTGAAGGGAAAGTAAGAATCCTTTAATAACAGCTGTTTGGGAATAAAATCTAATAAAACCTGTAAGAAAGAGAGGAAGTTTTCCCTTTGACTTTCCAAGGCTCTTACAACGAAGGCTTTTGAGAAGCATTGTTCCACCACATTTTTATTAACCAAGACCTTAATCGAAGTTAAAGAGAGCAATATTGAGATTCGCCACCGTAAAACAAGAATTGGATATTTTCATCTATCTCGGATTCTGCTGTTCGTTTCCTTTAGTTTTTGAAGGAAGAAAACGTAGGCAAGGTCTAAAATCTTAAAGGAGAATAAGATGGCCACAGCTACTCTATTCTTCCTTAGAGATGTCTCTGGCTTCTATTTATCTGTTACAAAATTTAACGAAGATTTTTGTGAATTGCCTTTGTGATTTTTGAGATAGTAGTATTAATATTAATGGAAGAATCTAAAATTTGAGATTCCAGGGTTTTAGAAATTCTTGGTTAAGGAGACTCCTGTATCATTAACTGAAAATGTAGAGGCGGCAATTGGAAGATAGAAAAAGAAGCTGAATTTGGCTTCTCTCTGTTAACTCTCAATATCAGATGAACTTTTTGATAGTTCACAAATAATTCTTGAGCTCAGCTGCCATTTTTAAGGAAAATTATTTAAGAAAGTAGTTTCAAAGTGCAAGATATGTTGTCGACTGGATATCAAAAGAGTGACAGCAAGCATTCTGATTCCTCAGAAAGAATTTCTGAGGTATTGATTCATGAGTCATGATGTTAGCGCAACAACCATAAGGTAGTTTAGATAACAGATTCATAGTCTTAAGGACTGATTTGAGAGCGTTCATTATTAGCATGCTCTAATTTTAATATCCCTATATAGTATTCATGTCGCAAATTTCAAGGAGAGAAGTTCTTTAGCAATTTTCTGAGTGCGTATCATCAGTTGGAGAGATTCATTAACACTATAAATTTTCTTTTCCGATTTAAATATTTTGATGGTTGAAAAAGCATATGTTCTTATTTAAAGTAGATAATTTAAATAATTCTTTTGGATTACTATTAAAACTCTATAAAATATTGACAAAAGCAGATTTCCTATGAAAATCTTGCTTGGAATTCGAAATTGGATGTACTCTGGAAACAAAAGGCTTATTGCAAAGCTACCATCTCAAAATCACCAATCCCCCACCCTTATATATCCCAATCTCCAAAAAAAATAAACTTCCCAAATCTTCTAAATCTACCTTCAAACATCCTGAAATCCTCCATGGAATCCAACAATCCAAGACTCATTCTTCTCAAAAATCACAGTTCCAAAAAAGCAAGTTATTCTAATTCAAGTTCTACATTCTCAGGATCCTTTAAAATGCCAATATCTCCTCTCCAAAACTCAAAGCATTCATATTTTAAATTTAAATGTAAAACAGGTATTTGGGCAGTTCAACCAGAAGTAGACCACTCGGGGTTTTGGGGTTTTGGGGTTTTGGGGTTTTGGGG